AAACCACAAAACTGGTAAAAATAAGAAAATTAATTATACATTAAATTTAGATGGAAAGTACATCTCAGATCTTAAAGACTTGGCTGATACTTTTGGGGATTACTTTTCAACAGAAAATGAAAACGGTTTAAACATGTATTATAGTAATTCAAGATCTCAGTGATGCCCACTGATCTGAAATATTTACTGGATAGAATATTATAGCTAAAAAGCATTCCGAAAAATTGGAAAACAATATGGCGGACCGGATGTTATTTAACATAACCTCCATTCCCATTTGTCACTTAATACGATGAAGTGCTTTTTGTGGAAAACAAAAAAAATATCCGTACTCTACATTATAGATTTAGATGTTCAATAAAAACTTGCAGACCTACTCTAAGGATGATTGTAGCGCAGTTTCTAGGTGTTCAAAATAATACCAATACTGGATAGAGATTAGAAATGGACCAAAGTTTAGAAGACTAAAGAAGGTTAGTATTATTACAAGTGAAATCGAAAATTTTGAAGTCTAATAAATGTTCCCAAATGGTCCAATTCAAGCACTTCCAGTCCTTTTGTCGCCATAGATTTTTGCGATGTCAAATATCGCCTATATCCTATCTAATAAATAATACATATCAGTGGCTATACCACATTAGATATTTTTAATTCAGAATTTTTAACTCAGTAGGACCAAAACAAAGCCACAAAATCCCCGGAGGCTGGAGTGTCAAGATAACAAGGCGAAAGAAGCTTCCAAGCAACGCACAAAAGCTCTAAAGTGCTTAACAGACGTAACACCGCAGGTCATCCCACTGAGGAAGCAGGCCAGGACGGACGAAGTCTCGTTCAAAGAGGCCCTTACGTCAGTGAAGGTTGCAATGCTAGCAATAGGGTACCAGGAGATCAAAATGAGTTCAGAGAGGCTAGGAAAAGTTCCAGACTTGATCTCCGAGGCCCATGTAAAATCCCTACAGAGGGAACACAGGTGAGGTTCGCAAAGTGCAGCTACAAACCAGGTTATCTGGTGGTGACTGGTTGCGGGACATCGTCACAACCATCCAACATTGGAAAGGGGAATCCCTGAAAGCGTTGGAGCTTGACGATTTCTTAGGCCACTAGCCTGCACAACATTCGTTCCCGTCGAAAGAGGACAAAGGCCCGAAGGGGAGAAAATCCTCAAAAAGGATAAAAATAGCCAACCATGGATTAAATACACACCTTTGAACGATGTGGTGTAAAATACCATCGGAAAAAGGTCAAATATAGCCTTTCTCGATGGATCCTGAATCTCTAGAGGAACTAAAAAAGCTGGACATGTCCCCCTAGTAGGACCTAGGAAGACTTAAATTCAGAGTCAAAGAGGAAACCAGAGTCTTCTACAGAGGAAGAAAAATTAGTAGAGGACAATGAGGTGGAGTTTTCCCACCCTGATACACTGCAGCTCTCCTAACTACGGCGTTTAGGAAAACAGGACATCAATACAAGAGGTGAGTTTTTATTATAATTCATCTTATCTGAAGGTTTAATAATTGCTAATATAGGTAACAAACCAATTTTTGTCACAACGACGAGAAAAGAAGTCCTAGATATGACTTTGTGCAAGTGATAACATTTAAAAGTGGCATCGTGCTCAGACAGATTAGATTTGAACTAATTACCCCACCTCAAATTGCAACCAACTATAGAAACCCTAGACAGACGAATTGGGAAATGTATAACCGCTTACAAGGAAAACTGTCCGGAAAAAACAAGACAGTAAAGAACAAAAACAGTCTGGAAGAACAAACACTTGGAACGCCTTAGAGGTGAAGTGCGAAGGCTATTTAGTAAAGCCAAATCAACCGAAGACTGGGCCCTATATAGGGCTAAACTCATGCAGTAGAACAAGGAGATAAGAAAGGCTAAAAAACAACCGTGAAGGAAGTTTTGTGAGGAGTTATCTAAAATACCCGCATGCTCTAGAATCCACAAAGTCTTATCTAAAGAGGATACTGCAAACCAAGTAGGATTTCTCAGGAAAGATGATGAAACCAATACAAAACCTTCGAGGAAGCGTTAACAATGCTTACAGTACACCTTTAGGTCGCAGAAATGTTGTTAGACCCGATGGTACCATAGGGCCCTTAAAGGTTTCGTAGACCAGAAGAAGATGGAATATATCCCATTCTACTACAAAAGGGACAGGAAACTTTAATTCCACTTATGTGCCGCATATTTAAAGCATGTATAGCCTGGCGACATATACCAAAGATGTGGCACTTTCCTAAAGTAGGAAGGTATAATGATATGACACCAAAGTCTAGAAAGACTAATATAAAGATATATAAGAGACGAACTAATGAGAGGAAATCCTTTCAGCGACTGTCAATATACATATCAGCAAGGAAAGTCAACCAATTTGGACTTGAATGATGTCAACAGGCTATTGTCAAAATCTGTGGATGATAAAGAAAGGGTAGTAGCAACTTTCGTACAAATTGAGGGAGCCTTTAATAATACCCAAACAAGATCTATAAAATTAACGCACAAGCAGTAGTCCTGTGTCAGTTTATAAAAGCCAGCCTAGAAGAAAGAGTAATAATATCATCCCATAATAAAAACTAATTAATAATAATAATAATAATAATAATAATAATAATATAAATAATAATAAATCGTCTTTATTCATCAAGTTTCAGTATAAGTGTAAATATATAAATATATAAAGTAGATGAACAGGTGAAGTTCAGCTTGCGTTGATTTACAACGTAACCTATAAATCACAAAAAAATATAATAATATAATAAAGGAAAAAATGGAATCAACACTTGCAAAAAGCCACCCGAAAGAGCACAACATCCTTCAACTTATGTCGAATGTTTTGTGGAAGAAATTGGGGACTACAACCGAAAATGTCCCTATGGCTATATACCAGAGTCATAAGGCCGATGATAACCTACGGGTCGGTGGTATGGTAGTCAAAGACTCGGCTAGCTGGAGTCATTCGACAGCTCAATGATATTTAAAGGACAAGCATGCCTGAGTACCATGGGAGCCATAAGAACGAGTCCAACAGCAGCTATAGAAGTTATGCTAAACCTAACATTCAAGGCGAAGCCAGGACTGTTACATACAGACTGCGCAAAGCTCCATCACTAATAAGCAGTTTGCATGGACGTGACTTAAAGCGAGCTATATAAAGATTTGAAGAACGACCAAATAATGGGACTGTCTTCAGACGAAATGCTCCTAAAGTATAGCTTTCAAAAGCAATATAAAGTAAATAAACCTGACAGGGAAACGTGGACGGGAGGACCTCCTATATAAGATAAGTATGTCACTGAGCTTAGGTAAACATACGACAGTATTCCAGGTAGAAATAGCAGCAATACATCACTGCGCAAAAGAGGTATTAAGACAGAAGGTAAATGGAAAAATCATTGTCATATACTCAGACAGAGCTGGGTAGTCAAAATAGACTAACCTTAGCCTGGACAGCAGACCACAGAGGACATAAGGACAACGAAAAGGCTGATTTACTAGCCCAAGAAGGAGCCTCAAAGGCTCTTATTGGCCCAGAACCCTTCTGTGGTGTCACAAAGACAACTATTAGAACATGCACAAAGCAGTGGATGTTTAAAAAATCTCAGGAATGGTGGAAAAATTCACCAGGGTAGAGACGGCCAAAGAGTTCTTAAAATAATCTGCGCCTAAACTCACCAAGCATCTACTAAGCCTTAATAGGAAAAATACTGGAGCCCTAGTAGGTCTATTAACAGGGTATTGTAGGCTTAACAAATATGTGTATAATATCGGTTTGACAAAAGAGACCTTGTGCCGAATCTGTTAGGAAGAGGAGGAAACTGCAGAACACGTATTGTGCTATTGCGAAGGTCTTTCAAAACTGAGAATCCTTAAAACCAAGGGCAAATAGCTACGCCGGAGAACTACCACCTACTCTAAGGAGTTTACTACGAAAGACCAAATTAGACAAGATACTCTAAACAACGATTAAGGGATATCCACAATAGATCTAAGAAGGTCGAGGTGGAGAAGGGCACATGGCCCTCAGTCCTAATTAAATCTAATCTAATGTAACCCAGTAAAAAAATATGAAATCATGATAAAAAAATTAAAAATAAGAACCGTATGGGTGTCGATTATATATCTGCTAAGATATTAAAAATTGTTGCTGTTCACATTGCAGAATACATTGTAAATCTTATTAATCTATCATTAGCATCTAGTAAATTTCCATCTATAATAAAACTAGCCACCGTTATACCTTTTCAAGAAAAATGCATCTAATTATTTAACACTATATCAACCAATGACAATCATCTTGTATTTCAACACACGCCAATTAAAACAAACCGTATCTGAAAACACTGGTAGTGTTTTAACTTAAAACCGATTGGATTTAAAAAATTTAATTCATTACCAGAGTAACATATCAATGATTTATGCGAAACATCAATGTGAAGTTTGTCAAAAAGGTGACAAAAAATAGACAAAAATCGTTTTGGTTGTTGAAATATACATTTTAAAAACGTAATCGACTTCATCTTACGGAAACAAAGCAAATGTTGCTTATAAAATGGCTTTTTAGTTTTATTAGTAACCAAACGAGGTTCTTTAAGGTTAACAAGTAATCATTCTGTTAATTTGGGAGTTCCTCAGGGATCTTTGTTGGGACCGCTATTTTTCTACTTTTTATCAACGACTTGCCTCAATCTATAGATGCAAATACGGTCATCTTATTTGCTGATGATTCTTCATTGGCAATCTCAGCACATTCTTCTGAGCAGCTTATACAGCGCTGTAATTTTATTATTAAAACTTTCATCAATGGGTGTCACAAAAATGATTAATATTGATAAAACTTAATTCCTCTATTTTTACATTGAATACAAAAGATTTTGTGGGTACCATTCCAAAAAAATAATACCATGAGTTAATAATGAATAAGTACGTTGTACAATTAGTTGCACTAAACTCATTTCCATTCCGGGTTTAAACTGAATTTACAAGTAAAAATGTCCGCGACGGCAGCAAACAGAATAATCCCAAAATTCAATTTATCGCAAAATTGCCATCCATTCAAGATGTTAATCGGTAAAGTTAAGTTTTAATGCGATTAAAGAGAGCAAGGCCGACGTTTTGGTCTGGATAAATCAAATAAGAGCAGCGCGAGCGACCGTCAGAATTCTTGAATTTTCCATTCCCATCGTACGACTACGGTCACTGTATTAGAATACTTTCAATCCACTTTCGATCAGATAGAGTGCAGAGATTTGTGATTTGGGACAGACGGGAGCAAAGCGGGCGGCCGATCAACCCGCCCCCCAAGCTCTTGGTTTCCGAACGGAGACGGCTTTTGCAGCGAAGCGCTCTAATCTGAAGGATACAAGGAGGAGCTGCGATAGAGGATAATGGAGGAAAGAAGGTGTTATTAACCGAAATCATTGAATGGCAGTGAAATAAATGATATTCGCCAAGAGATGACTAAGCCTACTTTTGGTCATCATAATAATCGACAGGGACCGCGAAAAAAAAAAAAAAACAAGATAAAATTAGTATCCTACACGCACTATCTCGTTACACATTTGGATGACCTCCGCTGATAAAGCTCGCTTTACCTATAACACCTGACATTCGCGGTTGCGGTTGTCATAACAATCAAAAGTATTGCAGCTTTCTAAAAAACAAAACCCAAGTGACACAGCCTCAGTAAATGTATTAAGCTCTTACCAAAATGGAAGATATTAGAAAGTTTAAATAGCAGAAACAACATCCAATTTGATTCATATGTAGTACCGCAGGGATATATTTTGGGTCTTCTCTTATTTTAAATTTATATCTCTCAATTTTTCAAACATCTGAAACATATGAATTCTAACGAATTTTTCTTAAGAATTAATGCTATGCTTTTCAGTAGACGACATTATTTTACTTTACTTGTTAAAAACTGCTTGCAACACATCAAGTTTAAGTACACGTAACCATCGTCGCCTTATTTTAGCAGATAAATCGTTTAAAATAGGTTGTTTGTAGAAATTATGTTGCTGTTGGAAAATAAAAAAAAAGAGACGTATCATCACTGCTGCCGCATTTTACAACCAGGCAGCACTGGCATGTTGGAAATGCGTATTAAAAATAAATCAGTCGAATGTAATCCATTTTCATTTTATTACACACCTTTTTAGCCGTATTATGTCTAGTACTATATTTGGAGTGACTTCAAATAACATTCAAATACGCAACACTAAAGATAAAACTGATAACAAAATCACAGACTAAAGAGTATTTTTGTTTTAAAACCACTGTCTCAAATGTTATAATGTAAAAAAAACTATTTCGATAATAAGGTAAAAAAATTGTGTGCCCAGCGGCGGCCATATTGGATTTTTTTGACATAACGTCGGAATGTCCAACTGAAGAAATTACAAATTTTTAGTGTAAATATTTGAAATAAAAACACTGCGAGGACATTCATTAAGACACTACCAAGAGAAGTTCAGTTCAATGATTTAAACGTTTAACGTATCGTCTCTAAAACAAAAACGTAATACCGATTTTCCCCCTTGTAGCGAAATATAATTTACGCGTCCCACCGAGCATGTAATCTACTCATGTATATATCGAACCACGTTTTCTGTTTTCTACAATTTTTCAACATATCTGCACCGACATTGTTTCCTACTTGTTCGCTACGTGCAATTTATTTGAACCGTTAACAGAACTTGTTTGATTTGTCGATTTATCTTGTTGAAATTTCGTGAAATCGATACGAGAATCGTGAAGGTGGTAGTGGCGTGCCTAGGACAACCTTTCGGGGTAGTAACTTGATTACAAAAATACCGCCCCGCGTTGGGCGCCAATTGTGTAACTTAAATTAAACCTTTAAGGCTAGTAACAGTTTGGATGGAGAAATCTGATAAACAATTTTCTATGTTAGGGTGAAGCGTATCTTACCATTGTCGCCATTAGTCCATGCAGATTTCTCTTGTGATTAACAGAACCTCTTACGTTATGTAACAGCTTCAGTTGGACTAGAACTTCGCGGTTGGCTTTCTTGCAGGTTTTTTAATGTATGTATATTAAGGTATTAATACACTGTGACCTAAAATATCTATTTTGTCGCTAAATCAGCTCTTTACCCAAGGAAATGTAGGCTCTAAGTTGGGCAAATCGCCCTTTGTACGCTCCTAAGTATAAAGCCCTTGGGTTTTGGAGCAATACACATTTGTGTAACTGTGTGTAATTTTAAAATGACCGAGTTGTAGGTGTAATGTAATGACACACAATGTAATGACATACGTAATCTTTTTAATTTTTCAATCAATCTTTCATGTAGTTTTAACAAAAAGAAGCAGCTTAATCAGATAGGTCTGACGGACTTAACTTGACCGTAGTTGGCTCCTTCCTATCTTGAGAATAAAAACTATTTTTTGTAATGATGTATCACCAAGAACGATCCTTAGAACAACGGAAATGAAAGTATTATTTTTCGTCACTCGTAATACTGAGGGGTTAATCTTAAGCTAAATTTTTGTACAATATGCTCCCATTCATAAAACACTCCCAATACACTTACAATGCACTCCCAATCCACTCCCAATGCACTATTGATATGGCAAACTGGGGATACGACATGTGTAAGCGCAAAGTAGGATTGGTCCGCCATTATTGTGAGTGTAATTTGTTAATTTTATAGGTTATCTTTCTAGTGCCATTTTTGTCATTAAATTTAATTTTGATTAGTGTTTGAACGATTTTTGAGTGTTAAAACTTTTAAAGTGATTTAAGTAATAACCTTTCATAGGATAGTATAAAAATGATAAATATTGTACAGGATAGTATTATGGCTGGTTTGTATAAAATATGTAAAAGTATGCTTTTAAAAATACAAAAAATAAAAAATATCCTCCATCAAATTCTGGGCCTACCTATATCGCAATAATACTTTTTCATATGAATTAATATTAATAGATTTCCGAAAAACTCTGAAAAACGAAACGCGTGGCTACGATTTGTATACAGACATAACTGGGAACATAATCAATTCAGCGTTATATGTTCCAAGAAATTTCTTTATGAGTTTTGCTCGATTGAGGGACTTACATTTGAATAGTTTTGTAAAAGATACATTAAGAGGAACATAGTAACTTATTCTCGAAAAAAACAGAAAAACTTAAAATAGGATAAATTGAACGTTTTAATTTATAGTTAAAAAGAGTTACCAAATTTCAAAATTTGCCGAAAATATATAAAGGATAGCTCATATTGCGAACGTTTGAGAGTTGAAATTCAGCAGATGTGTTCAACTTTTTATCAGTGAGGACTGGGTGTAAAGGTTTTGAAAACACCTTATTTTTAATACGATTGTAAACGATTTGATTATCTGTATTTTAATTATAGTAAAATAATACCATGGAAATCATATTAAAAATAAAGTGTTTTCAAAACATATTTACCCAGCCCTCAATAATAAAAAGATGAACACATCTGCTGAATTTCAGTTCTTAATTTCTATTTGACTAGTAGAAATTTTTTAAAAAATATTTAATTTTACCTCCGCAATATAAGCCACATACAATTTCGGTCAATGTTGACTGAATGTATACATGTACAGTATGGTTCAAATGAAAGGAATAATGGAAGTAGCTGGTTTTTCGAAAAAATGCTCGGACAGGTCAATTTTGTTTACTCAAAGCGCAATTTTTTAAATAGAATTCAATTTTCCCCCATTTTCCCATTTTTGGGCAGTGACGTCATTGACAATTTTTTTAAATGGTAACCTCAATTTGTTTTTCTTGATTTTGATAGTTCTTGCAATTTCCTACTCGGAAACATAATATTTGAAATAACAACAATTGTTTTGAATAGAAGACATTTAAAAATCAGACGCATAAATTTTATTTTATTTTGAGAACACAATAAATAAATAAATAAATAAAAGATCATTATTTGTAATTAAATGCTTAATCTAACAAAATAATAATAAAAATAATAATAATAAAAAGAATTTGTGAAATTGTCATTAAATTCTTTTTATTATTAATATTATTATTTTGTTAGATTAAGCACTTAATTACAAATAATTATCTTTTATTAATTTATTGTGTTTCAAAATAACATAAAATTTATGTATCTGATCTTTAAATGAATTTTTTTCAAAAAAAATTGTTATGTCAGATATTTCAAATATTATGTTTCCGAGTAGGAAATTGCAAGATCTATCAAATTCAAGAAAAAAAAATTGGGGTTGCTATTTAAAAAAATTGTCAATGACGTCACTGTCCAAAAATGGGAAGTGGGGGAAAATTAAATTTTATTTAAAAAATTGCGCTTTAAGTAAACAAAATTGACCTGTCCGAGCATTTTTTCGAAAAATTAACTACTTCCATTATAGTGAATTTATTCCTTTCATTTGAACCATACTGTATACGTACAATCACTGTAAATTAAACCGTTCAATTTATCCCATTTTAAGCTTTTCTGATTTTTTCGAGAATAATGTACTATGTTCCTCTTAATATTTAGTCTGTATAAAAAAATTACGAGGTTTTAGGTACCTATCTTACTATTCAGTTTAAAATTAAAAAGTTTTAAATAGAATACATAGGGATAAAAATATATTTTCATGCGGGTTATATCTAGGGAAGGGCAAAAATAATCCTATTTTTCTAGAAAAATCGATAATCGATTAATTGATATTTTTTATTAATCGATTATTTTCGACTTTTACTATTTTCAATTAATCGATTAATCAAAATATTCTAATTTATTTATTTATTTTATAAACTGTTCTACAGGAAATTCCCAATTAAAGAACAGGTAAAATATGACAAAACAAATATATCAGAAAAATTCAATAAAAAAAATTACAAAACAGAATAAAGATTTAAGGAAGAAAAAAAAAACAAACTATTTAAAACGATAAAATAATCACAAAAGCAAATGTTTTATGTCCAAAATTCTAAGTTAAATATATCCAACTCAGAGTTTATGCTGTTGCAATTACTACACATGACATATAATGAAGATTTGCTTAAAATGTTGGTGCGAGGAGTGGTCAAGTAAAAAGTTTCATTGCACCTAGAGGTTTGGCG